GTTCCGTCGCGGCCAGCACATCTTGGTGCTGTGCTACTGCCTGAAGCCCGACATGACGCCCATCGCCAACAACACGCGTGCTGACGCTGCTCGTGTCATGAAGGCTGCTGAGGGCGAGGAGCCGTGGTTCGGTATTGAGCAGGAGTACACTCTGTTCGAGAAGGACGGCGTGACCCCGTACGGCTGGCCGAAGGGAGGTTTCCCTGGTCCGCAGGTCCGTACTACTGCGGTGCCGGTGCGCACTCGGTGTTCGGCCGTATCATTGTGGACGCTCACTACCGCGCATCGCTGTACGCTGGCATCAACATCTCTGGCATCAACGCCGAGGTGATGCCTGGCCAGTGGGAGTACCAGGTGGGTCCGTGCACGGGCATTGAGTCTGGCGACCACCTGTGGATGTCTCGCTACATTCTGCTGCGTGTGTGCGAGGACTTTGGCGTGAACGTGTCGTGGGACCCGAAGCCGATCCCTGGCGACTGGAACGGCGCTGGCTGCCACACCAACTACTCGACCAAGGCGATGCGTGAGGAGGGCGGCATGGCCAAGATCATCGAGGCCATCGAGAAGATGAAGCTGAAGCACAAGGAGCACATCGCGGCGTACGGCACGGGCAACGAGCGTCGTCTGACGGGCCGCCACGAGACGGCCAGCATGGACACGTTCTCGTACGGCGTGGCCAACCGTGGCGCGTCGATCCGCATTCCGCGTGTGGCGGAGGCCGAGGGCAAGGGCTACTTCGAGGACCGTCGCCCGGCGTCCAACATGGACCCGTACGTGGTGACTGGCCGCATCATCAAGACGACGATCTTGGACGAAGCGTAAATGTGAAGTTGAAGTGTGTAACTGAAGCTACAATTTCCTAATTCGAAACAAGAAATTGCAGTTTCGCTCTATTCAATCGCCAGTTGTCTATTAGTCACTGTCGGTCCGGCTGCGTCTGTGTTTTTTCTTCTTGTGGCTCTTCTTGTGGCTGTGCTTTCGTCTTTTGTGTCGACGGTGCGAGTCATCACTGTCGCTGCTGTAGTCACTTGAGCCCGAGTCACTGTCACTATCGCCCCTGGATCTGTGCTTCCTCTTCCTACTGGACGTCGAGTGTTTTCGCTTCTTTTTCGTGCTCTTACGTCGCTCTTCCCCCTCTGAGTCTGAGTCCGAGCCGTAGATGGCAGCAAGCGCCTGCGGGTTCAGGCCACTGCCCGTCACGTCCGCCTCGGCCAGTTTGGAGCGGGATTTGTGGCTCTTACGGAGCGATTTGTCGCGCGACTCATCCAGTTTCTTGCGGAATTCCTTTGAATGCTGTTTGGACGGGTCCTTCTCCGCCTCTGCTTGCAGCTTCTGTAGTTTGGAGCCCACGAGCTGGTCGTACATCTTTTGGAGCGTGGACTCGGCATTACGCTTTGACGAGCGACCGTCCGTGGTCTTGGCGCTTGTGGCGCTTACACGTACCCGTGTAGCAATGCGGACACGTCGACATGACCGAAGCAGGGAGGTGTGGTTATGATGGACACAAATTCCAGGTGGCACATTCAGTACATTGCCTAATTTATTCACAGCACGTAAACTGTCAA